TTAAAAGTCCCGACTCTCTCTGACCGATTGGGAAGTCTCTGCTCCCTGCGAGAATCGCCCAAGATGACGGAGTAAACGAGAGTTCCTGGATACCTCTGGTCCGGGGAAGACACCGGTGTATGTAATGGGTGGTTTGCTGTAAGCCCAGAATTTAGTCTGGCAGGCAGTGATCCGCGGTATTGTGCACAGGCGTTCGAAACTGGTGTATGCCTTAAGTGTATGCGTGGAGTTTTTGAATGGGTTTGGACCGTTACCGCGGAGCTCAGAACTGGGTTGGGCCTTATATGTGCACAGGAGTTCTGAAGCTGAGTTGTACCTTAAGGTAGGCAAGTAGTCCAGAACTGGTTTGGCCTTAAATGCGTGCAGGAGTTCTGGGGCTTAGAACTGGGTTGGGCCTTGTGTGCCCAGGAGTTCTGAAGCTGGAGTGGTGCTTTAGATGCACGCATAATCCAGGACCGGTTTGGCCTTAATTGTGCTCAGGAGTCCTGAGATGAGCTATGCCTTGATCGTGCACAGATTGGCATAGGGTGTTTTTTTGTTGTTTTAAAGGGAACAGGAGAGAAGTAGAAGATATATATGTTTTTGGTGTTTTCCTTGTTTGTGAACACATACACACTCAAGACACTAACATAAACACACCTCATAATAAAAGAGCAAAGCACTAAGCAGCAGGATTTAAAGGACGTTAAGATCCAAGAATAGCCCTGATTGAGCTCAGTGCGTAAGTCCACCCCAGGGCAAAAGCAGTGATGCTGGCGTTCTGGTGATGGTGAATTACTGATCAAGGAAGGGAGTTTTCGAGGTCTCGTTCCTTGCCTGCGAACAGTGCTGTGTAAGTCCTCTCTAAAGACTCTGAGAGGCATTTAGATCTGGAGGTAACAGATGCCCTTAGCTGAATGAGTGCAGGAATGCACAGGTTTTTCAAGTGAAAGCATCCCCTTACTATATGAGCTGTTACCTCACGCACGACAAAGTAAATCTTAAAGAGACCGAACATGTGTGTTAACTGGTGGTTTGAGAAAGTAGTGTAAGCGTCCGTTTATATATCAGAAAAATGTAAAGGAGGAAAAATATAAGAAGAAGCTGAGTTTGTCAGAAGGAGTTTGAGGCGAAGACGCCTGTAAAGAAAGCATATGAGTATTGATTGGCAAAAGCACAAGCATGTAGCTCCCACTCTGGTGCACGGCCGGCACCAGTGGTGGCAGATACATGAGAGAAAAAAGAAAGAGAAATTGGAATGCGATTACTAAAAAGTGTGTTTACGGGAGAAAAAAACCCCGAAAGAAATAAATGAAAGAAAATATACTTTTACTCGCTACGAAAGAGTATGAACAAAAGCGAAAAGAGGCTGTGCAGGAGGATCGAAAGCTGAAAAAGGGGTACAGAATGTCAGGCGGTGTTTGGTCTCAGCAGTGGTAAAAAATAAACAGACGGATAATAAGTGATGTCGAGTTTATGAGAAGTTACGCTGTTAAAAGGAAAAAAGGATTCATGTAGAAGTGAAATAAAATACAGCGCATTGTAGTACGAAGAGAAAGATATATTCTTGATCTGTATGTGTGTTTTATGAATTTGAGTGCCGGCATACAGTATGTGTGAGTGTAAAAAAACGCAGTGCGTAACTGAGTTTTGGTATACTAAATGACGGTGTGAGTGTGTTTAGCCAGCGGGACTGGCTAGAGACGTAACTAAAGAGACTTGACGAAAATCAACTTAAGGAGATTGGAAAATATAAGAGCGTCTGAAACCTATAGGTACAGTACAGGTGGACGTAAAAGGAGTTAGATAAACAGTTTTTGAATTTATATATACAATTAGTTGTAATAGTGAAAACAAAAGTTGGATTTATTTGAATGGCTTGAAACCAGATACTGCAGAAAGCGCATGCAGGATGAAGGAAGCAGGGACCTGCCCTGTGGTTCAAATGACAGGGAAGAACAGTGAAAAATTTATCACCCTTCTAAGAGCTCTGTCTGGGGAGGATAAACAGTCTTGTGAGAGATCTGTTTACCTAACGATTAGATCCTGTAAATCCCTTGTAGCCTCCCTAAGTCTGTCCCAGTCCAGTGTGTAAAAGGAGTTAAACCTAAAATGTGCTGTTAATGGTGTGTCGGTTTCTCTGTTATGGGAAATTGGAGCACTACTGTCATGCTTGTCTCACTTCACAGTGTGCTATAGAGTAATGTATATGGGGAGATGGCAGGAGGCCACAGGAGTACTGGGGCAGCAAGTTTTACTTGTACCAGATTTTAACATTCACATGGCGAATGTGGGTGGTTTTATCCCAGATCTATTGGGTTGGAATATTATGCATTACAAGGAATGACTATCCAGAACAGGGTATCACGTGGCTTCAACTGACTGTGATCACTCAGTATGTTGATGATATTCTGAGTGCTTCCCCTGACGAGGAAACCCACAAGTCTGAGTTGCTTCAGCTTTAGAGTGTCTAATATTGAGCAGTTATGATAAGGCCCTTTTGTGTCTAGCATTGTGTAATTGTAACAGGGCCTGGGTGCAATGTTTTTACGGGGTGAGCAGAACTCTTAACAGATCTGCTTAAGGGGGGAGTGCAGTACAAGGACAAGATTACCTTGGTTCCAGCAGCAAAAGCCGCCTTTAATAATTTGAAACAAGCTCTCTTACAGGTGTGAGACTGGGGTTTCCTCAGATGGATCAACCATTCCTTTGTATACAAGTGTGGAAAAAGGGTTCTGGGCAGCTGTGCTGACGCAGGAGCATGGAGGTAGGCACTATTATACCATTAGATGCTGTAGCCAAAAAGTGGGGGACCGTGAAAATGTAATACTGTTTACTAATGGGTCCTCTCTGGTGAATGAGCGAGAACAGAGAACAGGCTGAGCTGTTACAACAGAATTCAAGGTGTTAACAATCGGAAAAATGCCCCTCCACTGCCTCAGCGCAGCAAGCCAGTTAAGAGCACTGATTGGAGATTGTAAAAGGAAAGATGTTAAAGGGTTACTGTATATGTATATAATGTATGTATTTGTTGCATGTAGGCCACAATTCTGGATGGCTATGGAGAAATAGGATTCTCTCACAACGGCAGGGACTCCAGTTAAGAATACTGGGCTTGTCTCTGAACTGATTTGTAGTTTTACAGCTGCACCTGCACTTCCTTTCCTTCATCACACCTTCATCTTCCTCCTCACCTCCAACTCTCACCACACCTTCATCTTCCTCCCCACGTTCAAGAGGAAAACAGATAATTATTAGGAAAAATAATTTAAATAAAAAAACCTACAACACCCTTCAATAAGAGTGTGTAGACTTTATATCCAGTGTATATGTAGGCTTGTGCATAGCTATATTTTTTTATAAAAATTGGCATTAATAGAGCTCCCTGTGAAAATCCCAGTTTAGGGCCAACTGTCCCCAGTGCTTTTGGAAGGCTGGAGGTACTGGATACCATCTGAATGTGAGCTACAGTGTTTCACTATGAGCCTCTTCATGGGCTCTGCTGTCTGTGCACCTGTGACGTCCACCTGGACAAGACACACTTCTGTCCAGAGGTGGAGAAAAGAGCAGTGAACTCACCAGGGCATCTCTGACAGGGATTCTCAGAAAATACACTCCAAGCTGCAAGAACAAAAAACAGGAGCGAGATGAAAAGATTGTTAAGAACTCTTAGATTTTAAAGAAGATCATATATTACCAGCTGAAGGAAGTGCAGGCAGACTCCTGGAAGCCACTCAACTTCCAACACATCACAGCCCCTCACAGGAGCTTCAGTGCCAACAGGAGGGGAGAGTCACCCCTCACTGACAGCACTGCATGTCTGCAAGCACCCCAGGAGAGCAAGCACATACACTCTGGGCCTCAAACAGCGCCTAGATACATTGGGGCTAAAAGGAGTGTCCTAGACAGGCTGGAGGCACTGAGTCTCTTTGGTCTGGACCAGGGGAAACTACATGACACAAATATTCAAAATCTTCCTAATCCCCGATAAAGTGATTTTCTACTATACTCCACTTCTAAAAGACTGAGAACAGAAGTCAGTGTCTTTACACAAAGGTGTGTGGGTGTCTGAAACAAGCTACACAACCTTGTTGTTGAAGCCAATAATTCCTTCCTTCAAGAAACAGCTGGATAAATTCCTGAGATTAGATGGCTACTGAAAAAAATAGCTTGATGACCCAAACTTCATTTCTTTGTAACTTCTCTTATGCTGTACACTGAGCAACAGTGAATCTCCCACAGAAACATAAGGCTGGTCAGCTCTACTCAACTATATTCTGAAGAGCTTTGAAGAGGAAACAAATGTGTTTGTTCACCACAGGCCCATGGAAGTTATTACTTTTGTTGTTACTCTTTACATTAGTTTTGTGTAGAAAAAACAATGAAGCAAAGGGTGAAAAATATTTGATGTATAATTTAATATTTTTTAAAAAACTGTAATATTTTATTCTATAGTTGAAAAGAAAATCTTTACCTTTTATAGAAATCCCAGTGAGGAATGACATCAGTGAGCATCCACATAAACTCCAGACAACTGCTTTGTAAAATGTAGGTGGTGCCCTAATTTTAAAATATACTATGAGAGTAACTAGACAATGAAACAAAAAGAACAAAAAATAGCAATTATGTGCTGTAATTAGAAAAACAAATCTTAAAATCATTTAGAAACTGGTATTATATAGTTCATTAATGGACCAGATATCAGTCATTATACTAAAGCTTGTGCTTTGTACAGACTGTGATGTTTTGAAAAGAATTATCTACTGTACCTTTTAGATAAACTGATAAATATAATAAAATCCTAACATTTCAGACATTTTAAAGTGCATTATAGTATCACTGATGTTATTTACAGTAAAATAATACAGAAATGCTGAAATACCATTGATTTAGAAATTAGAACACAAACTGTTCATTTAGCACAGCAAATTCCACTGCCTGTGAATATTACTCTTTAGTTCTGAATAACATAATGTTCATTCTTTTCTAATTACAATGCATCAACACTATAATTTGTGTTGTCTTTCAAATTAACACAGAAACATAAATGCTCCCAGACAAAGGCAATAAGAACTCGATAATCTGTTGTGTCTGTACTTAGCTCACAACAAAATCAGAAACTGAGTTTCAGTGTTCGCCTTCAAGTGAGAGGACAGGGGCAGAGTGGCACAGTGGCACAGAGAGTGGCATTGGTGGGGTAGCTGGGGCACAGGGGGTAGCAATGCTGGGGTAACTGGGGTTTGCTGGAGTTTGTATTTTCTCCCCTTGGGTTTCCTCTGGGTTAATCTGCTTCTGGGAAGACTGGCCCTGGTGTGAGTGTGTGTTTGTGTGGTGTGTGTGTGTGTCAATGTGTGTCCTGTGATGGACTGGCTTCCTGTCCAGGGTGTATCCTGCCTTGTGCCTGCTGCTTGCTGGGATAGGCTCTGTCACCCCCCGACCCTAAATCGGATAAAGTGGTTAGAAAATGGATGGATGGGAGAAGATAGGACACTAAACTGTAGCTCCTGAGGAAAGATGTCCGGGAATCAGATGCTTTGTAAATTTTGTTTGAAGTGTGGGATTAACCTGCACTGCTGAGGGCCAGCCCCTTGGCCACAGGACAGGAGGCTGAGACTCCTGCAGAGGGAGGCCTCACTCCAGGGGCAGCTGCACAGGGGGAGATGCAGGACACAGGGGTGAAAGGGGTGTTTGTGTGAGATACATACTGGGATCACCGGGAATGACTGTGATTTAGAACAGCTGGGTGAAACTGGCTTGTTGTTACTCCTCCTGAACTCCAGTCAAGAACTTCATTCACTTTATTCCCTCTAAACATACCTCCTACTTACCGGAACAAGTTTCTGCTAAAACAACACCAAACACAAACGGAACACAGAAGTGCTTCAGAAGCTTGTGAAGGGTGTCTGAAAAAGAGCAGAAGTTTTTACTAGCAGCGATTCTCAGCAATACTGAAGCATGAGTTTCTGAAGGGGCCTGCACTGCGCCTGCTGGACTCCATCATCCCCCCAGACTTTGAACAGACTTTCCCTCCTGGAGCACAGAGCCAACAGGAACCAGCTGCTGCCCCCACATTCCCTGAACACAGAGCTGCAGGGCTGACACATCACTGCTCTCATCTCTGTGTTCAACACATTCTCACTGCTGATGGCTCACTGCTCTTATCTATGTGTTCAGCACAGTGTTCAGCACATTCTCACTGCTGACAGATCACTGCTCTTATCTCTGTGTTCAGCACAGTGTTCAGCACTTGACAGATCACAGAACTATCTGAAGAGTTTACCTCCCAATGGCTCTCGATTCACCAGTAACACATGTGAGAACTCACTCTTAGGTCCCAGATCACCTGCTCTGCTCTTTCCTGGATACCAGTGTGAATAGGAGGCCATCATTGACACCAGCAGGATCCTCAGCACACTGACAGTGGCACAGGTGACCCACTCCTGGAGAAAACCTTCAAAACACACAGAGCTCTCAGAAAAGGGAAGAGCCCAAGATCACAGCGTGGATAAGGACCTGACAGACTCCCCCACCTTCAGTCCGGCCCCACAGGATAAAGGCTACAGACAAGAGGAGCCCAGGAGCGACACAGTTCACCAAAAAGCAGCACCGCTCACTGCAGGTCCAATCTGGGACAGGAGACAGGAAGGATTTTAGACAGTTAGGGGAAAAAAGCTTGCAAGTATTTGGTGATGGAGTGCATTTAGCTAGTGAATTTAAGATCCAGAGTTAATTTAGCATTTTGTCTCTTTTACGTCTACTTGGATTTAATCTGAGTTCTCTCTAGTCTCCGTAGGGGTGTTGTAGTGCTGATTAGAGTTGGAAACTGGGCAGGTTGAGCTATCAGTAGGTAACTGATAAGACAAGGGATGTATTCCTTCTCATTAAAGGAAGCCTGGCCATTGATTGATGGAATGAGCTGATGGAAGAGGTGTTAGTGGGGCCAGTAGGAGGCGCTCTCCATGGGGTATGGTGGATGGAGACACCATACTGCAAAAAGGCTCCATCCTTTGGATTAGACATAAAACCAAGGTCCAGAATCTCTGTTCATTTAAAATCCCAGGGCACCTCTCGAAAACAAGACCAAATGTCCCCCTGACCTTTACCAGTCATGGCCTCCTAATAACCCCCATCTCTGAACTGGCTTCATCACTCTGCTCTCCTCCCCACTGAGAGCTGGTGTGTGTGAGAGGACTGGAGCATCATCCAGGTGGGGCTGCACACTGGTGGTGGAGTGTTCAGCACTTTGCACTTTGAATGGAGTGTTCAGAAAAGCACTATATAAGTTTAAGAATTTATTATACAGCGCTGCCTGTGTGCTGTGACAATATTCACACCTTGATCAGTGACAACAGCTTCATCAACAGGAGAGTGAAACAGACTTGTAACTCACCTTCACTGTCCTTTTCCTCTGTAACAGAAAGACAGAAAATTAAAAGCGACTCACTTCCTCCTGTCCATAAACTCTCCTACAGACTGCTGCCCCTCATTCCTAATGTCTTTTCCTGTTTTTATTGCGATTTTGTTCTCTTTTCCTCGTATGTTGAGATTATTCTTCCTAGAAGATTATTATTATTATTAAGATGTGGTTCCTGTGTCTTTCTGACACCAGTCTCGGCACCAGAGCTCCAGTTACAACAAGAGAACACCAGGGTAGTTTTTGATTTTACTGAACCTCTTTATTCTTTTTGTTAGTTTTTTAAATGTATTTTATTTTTTTAACCTCTTTGTTATCGTATACTCCAGGTATTACTGTATAATACCAGAAAAGTGCAAAATCGTTTTTACACTTTTTTTAAAAAACTGTAAACATTATAAGACACCTCTCTGTATTGAAATACTACAGTAAAAAATATTCAGTATTTATTTTACATTATTGGAAGGCTGAGAAAATTTCACTTTCGAACAGGTCTTGATTTACCAAGGCCTTGACCTTGACTTCATTTTGGGGAGGGGATAGATATCGACTTTTTGTTCGTATTCACTTATTGTGATGGGCCAGCTGAGGTCTGGCTGAAGCCTCCTCCTGCTGGAGCTGAAATGGACCTGCCTGAGCTGGCTGACTAATGTCCTGTGGAATGAGAATAATGGAACATTCCCCAGGATCAGGAATTAGGATATCTGGTGATATGCTGACTCTGGGTTGCTTGCTGTATAAATAAAGCTGTTTCAATGTGCAGAGTGCATGCTGGGAAATGAAGTCAGCTGTGCACCAGAAACAAGAGCGCCTCTTTGGGAGCAGAGATCAGTGTGCACCAGAGAACAAGAGAACACCAGAGGGCACTGAGACGATTTAGAATTACAGCATGACATGAGGTAAAAGCTGAACTCACGTTTCTTGAGCAAGAACTGGCATGTTGGTACACTGGTCAGGAGCACGACTGTCAGTGCAAAAAGAGGTAGAGCCAGGAGCCAGATATGAGCTGTGGAAAACCCTGGGAAGAGCAGAGGAGAGCAATCAGCAGGAGTGGGGCCGCGCTGGGCCAGTTCACCCAGTAACCACAGGAGGTAAAAAGACAGGAGAGTCTACAGCACAGGCCTGCAAGGGCAATGCTGTGTCTCCATGGCTGTGGAAGAGCTGTCAGAGTGTGGAGTCAGGAGTGGGGCTGACATGAGTGCTGAGAGAAACATCACGACACTCAGCTTCAGCTCAGTGCCACACACACAGGGCTGAGTCTCCAGCACAACAACAACTTCAATAATATCACAGTCATGTTATCCTACAGACTTTATTAATCCGTGCAAGGGATATTACACAAATGTTGTTGTAATATGCTATACCACCCTGCAGCTGCCAGCTGGCAGCCCCACTGGAGCTCAGCAGTGTGAGTCTGTCAGTACCTGGAAGGGAGACTCCTGGGAAAGCTGAGGTTGCTGCTGGAAGAGGTGTTAGTGGGGCCCGTAGGGTGCGCTCACCCTGCGGTCTGTGTGGGTCCTAATGCCCCAGTATAGTGACGGGGACACTATACTATACAAAAGGCGCTGTCCTTCAGATGAGACATAAAGCTGAGGTCCTGACTCTCTGTGGTGATTAAAAATTCAAGGGTGTTTCTCGAAAAGAGTAGTGTTGAGCTCAGGGGTGTTACCCCTGGTGTCCTGGTCAAATTTACCCCTGGCCTTCACCAATCATGGCCTCCTAATAATCCCCATCTATGAATTGGCTTCATCACTCTGCTCTCCTCCCCACTGAGAGCTGGTGTGTGTGAGAGGACTGGAGCATCATCAGGTGGGGCTGCACACTGGTGGGGATGGAGGGGTCCCCAGTACCTGTAAAGCGCTTTGAGTGGAGTGTCCAGAAAGGTGCTACATACTGTAAGTGTAAGGAATAATAATAATCTGAAAAGGAATAAGCAGCTTTATGAAGCTGCCTCTCTGTATATTTTAGCTGGTATATCAGCTAGTAACTGTAATCAGTTCACCAGTCTGAATCAGCCTTTCATGCTCCTGATGAGCAGGAGGAACAGACACCAGGGCAGTACTAGCAGGGCAGTTCACTCAGGTTGTTGTTCTCACTTTCACATCTTCTCACTTACTCAGCTCTTTCAGCTCTGCTGTTGTAATTGCAGAACGCGAGTCTGTGTGGACTCTGCACGTGTACTTTCCCTTGTCTTCAGTCCGGACGTCCTTCAGCCGCAGAGAGAAGTTTCCTCTGGGAATCTCCTGAGGGAAGAGCTCCGCTCGGCCCCGGTAGCTCTGGTGCTGGGACTCCGGCCTGCTCTCCCCCTCGGAAAACAGGAGCACCAGGACTTCAGAGTCTGTCCTCATCCATTCCACCTCCAGCTCCTGCAGGGGGACATTCGTGTCCACAGAGCAGTTCAGCACCACCTCCCCTCCAGCATAGGCATCCACAGGCTCGCTGGCTCCGCTCACAGCCAGTCGCTCTGAAACATGGAGCAGGGAGGTCGAGTCAGGTTAGTAACAGCAGCAGTGTTGCTCAAGAGCTGAAAGCCGTCCTGTTGTTCACACATCCCCCAGCAGTGAGCACCCCAGGCCCTGAGAGCCACAGGCCAGCAGCTGTTACAGGTCATCAGGCTGTAAAGACCCAGAACACCTGAGTTCTGACCAGTTCGGCACCTTAATCAGAGGGCCTTAGTCAGGACTGGCCAGCTCTGGTCCTCTGCAGGGCTGACTAGGACTGGCCACCACTCCTATAAGGAAACTAGACCTCAGAAAGCCCTGGGGCTATTTCACAAAGCGAGATAACTCAACTAATTGGACAACTTTTGGAAACTTCTTGTTAAAAGTCCGGATTTCCAGTTTCACAAAGCAGGACTGAATTATATCCTTTTTTTAACGTGCTCCAGGGCTGGTTCAGGCATACGAGTAAATCGCCTGCAAGAAACTACATCACTTTTCTTCATGGATCCACTTGACATGAGAGCTTTGTTGAGACAATGAAAGTGTAGAGATCACCCTTTACAGCTCAATGCTTTTTATTGAAAGGTACTGTTTCAGAAGAGAGGGTATGCTTTACATCCACAATCTATTGAGCCTGTGCTTGTTAACACTGCTTGTTGTAGCTCAGCACTAACAGCAACTCAAACTCTGCTCACAGGGCAGAGATCCCTTGTGACTGGTGTTACTGTGGTGGCAACACAGAGCTCTTCAGTGTTCTCATATCCAGGTATAATTCTATCCACTGAAAACGTAGCTTCTGTTCCCTGTACTGCAGCTACTGTAAGCACTGTGATCTGAACATGTCTTACAGAATCTCATAATATAAGAGCTGGTGTGGACTGCACAGACATCCTCTTTAAAGCCCTCATAGGGCCAAACTAGGCTGATTCTTTTAACAGAAAATCAATTAGCAGCATTCAGATGCTGTTAAAAAATACAATTACAGCCTAAAAAAAAATAGCGTTGATTACACAAAAGACATTTCTACCCATCTTAAGACTTTCTGCAGCTTCAGGGTGAAGCCTCACTTATACTGATTCCCACCACAAAGATGTCAGGAAAAAGACTCCCAATAAAGGAATACAGTCTTTATTGTGTTGATGATGGTGACTGCTCCTCCTTCAGTCTGACTCTGCTCACACCTCTTCTTGCTGGCTAATATTAGGGAACAGTTTCATTCAGAGGATTGCTCTACTGTACTGTACCGCTGTGGACGATATTCCTGCACTGTGTCCTGACCTGCTGCCAGGTCCTCCCATCGTGCTCCAGCTACTGCAAGTGTGTAAATTACTCCCGTGAGGAAGGGAGTTCGAGCAAAAGTTAATCCAATTTTGCACTTTGTATAGACTTTTCCTATCTTGTAATATTTCATTGGAGTTCATAATTAACTTCCATTTAGTCACGATTTTTGGCAGGCTTCTTTTGCAGCGACTACAGTACAGCTCCTCACTCTTAAAACAGATTCAATCCGTATAGTTTTCCATAAGAAGCTGTAAATCATGGTCACTGGATGAAGACACTTCTGACTCAGTGAGATCAGGCAGCGGATCAATGACACATACTCTGGTCCCCCCAAGAATACAGAGATACTGGCGATCCAGACACACAGCCCTTAATAAGACAGTGAGCTTAACTACACCTGTCGAGTTCTCAGTTACTATAGGTATTGTCAAGGGTTTCTGAAAGGGGTGAGTTGTTGTGCGAAACCGTGAGGAAGGGAGTTCGAGCAAAAGTTAATCCAATTTTCCAAATCCAAGTCGTTAGACAAGAGCGAAATCGAAACTAGTAGTAGCCAAAGGTGTCAAGTCGAGAATGTCACGCCCCGTACTCTCCATTTCATTCCCAAACCCACTGTTTCACAATCTCATTCCTGACTGACCCCATCACATTCTCACAGGTACCAGATCCCAAGATTCTCACTCCCAGACCAATTATCCAACCACGTCCCCCTCTCGTCAGTATTTAAAGCTCCCTCACGCACCAAAACCATGCTCACTCCTGAGAAGTCTCCTTTAGAGTTCTCTAGTGCGCGGTTTTGCCTTGTTGGATTTCCCGGTTTTTGAACTTTCCCTTTTCGTCCTCGTCTCTCGGATTTCGCCATTTGGATTGTTTTCTGGGTTTGTCTCGGCTCTCGTTGGTTAACGGATCTCTAGCTTCTCCTATCGACCTTGCTCCTGGATGACGATTTTGTATCCTGCAGTTTAGGGTGATATTGCAGTTGGCAATGAATGTGAATAACTTAACTTCCTGTTTCCCAGAGAGGATGATATCTGTGTTCCCAACTCACCCTGTTCCTTCAGCTCCACTGTGGTCTCACCGGAGCCCTGCGCTGTGTGGACGGCACACTTGTACACTCCTGTATCCTCGGCTGTGACGTTGGCCAGCCGCAGAGAGAAGTTTCCTCTGGGAATCTCCTGAGGGAAGAGCTCCGCTCGGCCCCGGTAGCGCTGGTGCTGGGACTCCGGCCTGCTCTCCCCCTCGGAGAACAGGAACACCAGGGTGTCTGAATCTCTCCTCCTCCACTCCACCTTCTGGACCTTCAGGGGGACAGCGCTGTCCACAGAGCAGGGCAGCAGCACCTCATCCCCGGGCCTGGCCACTAGAGGCTCCCTGGGGCCCTGCACAGAGAAACCTGGGGCCGCAGAAGAGTGGATCATCAGGCACAGAGCCAATGAGCCCTGTGATTACTGCATCAAGTATAAAAGAATAAATACACTGGGCATAAAAGTCACATCCCCCAAACATTCACAGTAGTTGTGCATTAAGATAATGGAGACAGATTTAATTTTACTGTTCACACTAACTCTCAGAATATACTGGTATTCAAATTCAAACCCCCCTCCACCTGACCGACTGAGAAAGCAAACTGCAGGTGTTGTTTTTCTCACCTTCTGTAATTCAGTACATTGCCCTTCCAGACTGTGTTACTAACAGTGTGATTGCCTGTAGTCACCTGATTACACCAATAATGAAGTGCTGTATCACTGGAATGAAAGTAGTGTATGACATACTATTTAACATCTAGTAAGAACATCTGTGCACCTGCCCATGATGGCTCCCTGCCTAACGAGCTCCACACCTTCTATGCTGGGTTTGAAGCCAACAACACAGAACCAGTCATCAGAACTGCACCCTCTGCAGCTGACCAGCTGCTCTTGCTGTCTGCAGGTGAGGAGATCTCCACTAAGAGTGAACACACACAAGGCTGCAGGACCTAACGGCATACCCAGTCGCGTCCTCAGAGCCTGCGCCAATCAACTGGCGGGTGTATTCACAGACATTTTCAACATGTCTCTGGCCCAAGCCGTAGTCCCCACCTGCTTCAAGACAACCACCATCATCCCA